TGCTTTGAACTGGATGATATGGCAGTGTGGAGTCATATAATAATCCAGTTCAAAGCAGATATTGGATTCCCCGGCTTGATTTTTGGTTTTACTGGCATGCTAATATTATTATTAAATGAGTGTATTGGTTGATTTGTACAATGTTTTAAAATGTTTTTACTGTTTTAACTGTTATACTTTAAGATCTTCCGGGGAGGCCCTCCTCTCGCTCCCACCACTGTCACAAGCACGGTTGGTGGGGACGAGAGAGAGGACCTTCTCAGTGGTAGTCCATCGCCTCTGGAACGCCCTTCCTATGGAAATAAGACAGGTCCCATCCTTTCCCTCCTTTTGTAAGAGCCTGAAGATCTGGTGGTTTAAACAAACCTTTGAGAACGACTAGTTCTAGCTCTGCCCCAGATACTGTTGAAATTGGCCATATCTTCTTCTACCAATTACCCAGCTCACTCTCTTCTGTTAGGCCCTGGAAATGTACAGCCATAGACTCTACCTAATTTCCCAGGCCCTCTAAAATTACAGTAGCCCGGCCCGACCCTTTTAAACAGCCTTGATCAGACATAATTATTTTAAATATATGTGCTATTGTGGTTTTAATGCTTATATTGTTTTGTAAATTTTATGTTTATGCAGTTTTTTTTTCTTGTATGTACTGTTTATGTTTACTTGGAAACCGCTCTGAGTCTCCTTGGAAAGATAGAGCAGTATATAAATAAAGTTTTGTTGATATATATGTTGTAAGCATCGTTGATGCCTATGTGAGGCCGCCCTGAGTCCCCCTTACAGGGAGAAGGGCAGGATAGAAGCGTATGAAATAAATAAATAAGAAATAAAATAAATAAGGGGCCCTTCCAGACAGGCCCTGTATCCCAGGATCTAATCCCAGGTTTTCTACTTTAAACTGGATTATATGAGTCTGCACTGCCAGATAATCTGGGATAAACAGAAAACCTGGGATCATATCCTGGATATAGGGCTTGTCATCAATAATCTGCTTGGATCAGGTGGATTATATGACAGTGCAGAAGGGGCCTTAAGATGCTGTTGGGGGTGACTAAACACCTCTCTAACACCTTCAAAGTGCTGATTCTTACCTTCAAGGCCTTATAATTCTATCCCAGTTATATCCTACCTTGTTCATGTCCAGCATTATTTTTAATTTTAATTTATTACATTTGGCCTAGCCATTGGTTTTAAATGCTGTGTGTTACTGTTGATTTATTGGGGTTATTTTTAATGTGACTTATACTAATTGTTTTGCTTTGATTGTTTTGTTATTGCTCTGTTTATTGATGTACTGTGGGCTTGGCCTCATGTAAGCCGCACAGAGCCCCATGGGGAGATGGTAGCGGGGTACAAATAGTATTATTATTATTATTATTATTATTATTATTATTATTATTATTATTATTATTATATGGCATGGGGCTGGAATACCTGAGGGATCGCCTCATCCCCTACAAACCCCAGAGATCACTCTGTTCCGACAACCAGAATTTACCTGAAGTTCCTAATTTTAGGACCTTTCACCTGATGTCTACTAGGCGCAGAGCATTTAAGGTGGTGGCTCCGTACTTGTGGAATGCCTTGCCAGCTGGAACACGAGCTCTCCGAGATTTACTATCTTTTCGTAGAGCTTGTAAAATTTATTTATTCAGGCTGGCATTTGAACCTTGCTGATTGAATTCTTCCTTGATTTAAATGTTATGTATTACATGTGTATATTGTGTACCGCTCCGAGCCTTCAGGGAGTGGCGGTATACAAAACTGATTAATCTATATAAATAAAAACGTAATGTTCGTTTGTGGGATTAACAGAACTCAAAAACCACTGGACGAATCGACACCAAATTTGGACACAAGACACCTAACAACCCAATGTATGTCCTTCACTAAAAAAAAATGATTTTGTCATTTGGGAGTTGTAGTTGCTGGGATTTATAGTTCACGTAGAATCAAAGAATATTCTGAACCCCACCAACGATGGAATCGAACCAAACTTGGCACACAGTTCTCCCATGACCAGCAGAAAACACTGGAAGGGTTTGGTAGGTATTGACCTTGAGTTTGGGAGTTGTAGTTCACCTACATCCAGAGAGCACTGTGGACTCAAACAATGATGGATCTGGACCAAACTTGGCACAAATATTCCATATGCCCAACTAGGAACACAGATGGAGCTTGGGGAAAATAGACCGTGACATTTGGCAGTTGTAGTTACTGGGATTTATAGTTCACCTACAATCAAAGAGCATTCTGAAGCCCACAAACGATAGAATTGGGGCAAACTTCCCACACAGAACCCCTATGACCAATAGAAAATACTTAAGGCCATCCAGGCCAACCCCCTGCACCAGGGTAAGAAAACTTAATCAAATACTGTTTACCCACAATCATAAAGAAACATACATATATTAGAATTACATATATTAGATATATTACATATATTACATATATTAGAAACCAACACTTTCTCATTGCTTTATTTTCCAGATCACCAGACTGTGCCACAGCAACGTGTGGAGGGGACGGCTAGTAAATAATAAATAAAATAAATAAAAAGTGCCATAGATAAAAAGCCTGAGCTGGTGCTCACCTACAAAGCCCTAAACGGTTTGGGACCCGCCTACCTGCGTGACCGCATCTCCATATATAAACCCACGCGTTCCCTTCGGTCATCTGGAGAGGCCCTGCTCACAATCCCACCTGCATCGCAAGCGCGTTTAGTGGGGACGAGGGACAGGGCCTTCTCTGTGGTAGCCCCCCGACTCTGGAACTCTCTCCCCAAGGACATCAGACAAGCCCCAACGTTGGCAATCTTTAGGAAGAGTCTGAAGACCTGGCTGTTCCAGTGTGCCTTTCCAGATTAGGAAACTCCTGGCATCATATCCCAAATGCACTTTGTTAGAGACCAAGATTGTCTACTCTACACATTGTACCTACCTCCAAAAAACCTCTACATACCTCCTGTCAAGTTCAGCACTTTTAAATTTTATCCATTACATTTGGCCCGGCCTTTAGGTTTTAAATGCGTCATGGTGTCATTGTTTTTAGTGTTTTATTGTTTTTGCTTGATGTTTTATTATTTGCTTATGAGTTTTACTGTTATATTTATATGTTGTTGTTGTTATATTTGTATGTTGTTGCCTTGGCCTTTGTAAGCCGCATCGAGTCCTTCGGGAGATTTTGAGGGGTATAGGGTGGCAACCTGTGTTGGACGGGGTTACACTCCCCCTGAAGCCACAGGTCCGCAGTTTGGGAGCCCTCTTGGATTCATCGCTTACTCTTGAGGCTCAGGTGTCGGCAGTGTCCGGGAGGGCTTCTGCACAATTGAGACTTGTGCGCCAACTGCGACCATACCTCGCAAAGGCTGATCTGGCCGGGGTGGTCCATACCTTGGTCACCTCTAGATTGGACTACTGTAATGCGCTCTATGTGGGGCTGCCCTTGAAAACGGCTCAGAAATTCCAACTGGTCCAACGGGCGGTGGCCAGGATGTTAACTGGTGCTCCCTGCAGAGAGAGGTCAACCCTCCTGTTCAAGGAGCTCCATTGGCTGCCGTTTATTTTCCGATCCCAATTCAAGATGCAGGTGCTCACCTACAAAGCCCTAAACGGTTTGGGACCATCCTACCTGATTGACCGCATCTCCGTTTATGAACCCACGCGCTCGCTTCGTTCATCCAGAGAGGCCCTGCTTGCGATTCCGCCTGCGTTGCAGGCGCGTCTTCCCTTGGACATCAGATCAGCCCCTTCGTTAATGGTATTTCGAAGGAAACTAAAAACCTGGCTGTTTGAACAGGCGTTCAGATAAACGGTGCATTTGTACATGATGAATATAGGATACGGAATTTGGACGACGAATTGGATCATGATTCTAGTTACGAGACGTTAATGTGTTGATATTGATGTGTTATTACCCTGTATATTATGTTGTTTAATGGTTTTTTAAATTTTTATGCCTGTTGGATTGACTTTTTTGCTCTTGTTGTGAACCGCGTTGAGTCGCCTACGGGCTGAGAAACTGCGGTATACAAGCAAAGTAAATAAATAAAATAAAAATAAATAAATTTTCTGTGGTGGCCCCCCAACTCTGGAACACTCTCCCCAAAGATATTAGACAGGCCCCTACATTGGCAGTCTTTAGAAAGAACTTGAAGACCTGGCTGTTCCGATGTGCCTTTCCAGAATAGGAAACTCCAACAACAAGTCCCAGAAGCACTTTAGTAGAAATTAAGATTGCTGGCACACTGCACCTACCCTAAAATCCCATATACCACCTGTCACATCAGCACTCTTAATCTGTACCCATTACTCTGGCCCGGCCCAGTTTTATTGTGTCTTGGTGTACTGTTTATTGCTTTGTTGTTTTTAATATTGCTTTAATTGTTTTTTATTTGCTTTAAGTTGTGTATTGTTATGTTATGTTTTGAGGCCTTGGCTTTTGTAAGCCGCATGGAGTCCTTCGGGAGATGCTAGCGGGGTGCAAATAAAGTAATAATAATAATAATAATAATAATAATAATAATAATTCCCGAGGCCCCTTCCACACAGCTGTATACAACCCACATTGAGCTGGATGGTGTGGCAGTGTGGACTCAGATAATCCAGTTCAAAGCAAATATTGTGGCTTTATCTGCCTTGAAATGCTGGGTTATATGGCCGCGTGGAAAGGGCCTAGGTGGAAAGCGGTGTGCTGGTTCACCTGACGGGTGTGATGCTCCATCTGCACCCGGGTTTCCCCTTCTTTGGGCTTTTGAGCCGAGGCGGGAGAGCATCCCCCGCACACATTGGAGGAGCCCTGCCTCCACGCTGCTGCTTCTTCTTCCTCTTCCCCTCGCGTTGCCACCCCCTTCTTCATCCCCACCTGGCAGCATCCCTCACCGCCTAGGCCTTTCCTCTCCTTGGGCTTAAAGGAGGACACAAAGGGGGGCCATAACTCCAATAGGGAGGCCCCCTCCTCCCTCCCTCTCTCTCTCTCAGCCCACCCCGTTCCTTCCTCACCGGAGATACTGAGCGCAAAGCAAGCTCATCCTCCGCCGCCGCCGTGGCTCGCCGCCCGCCGTCCTCGCTGGCCCAGCGCCGGAGCCTCACAGCTCGGGCCTCTCAGGTGCCCAGGAGCCCGTGCCGCCGCCCCAGCAGCCGCCGCCGCTCCCTCCGGCCGCCGCCATCTTCCCGCGTCGGGCCCAGGCTCTTCCTGAAGGAGGCGGAGGGAAGGAAGGAAGGAGGGAGGGAAGAGGGAAGACCGCTCTGCGCCTGCCTCAGGAACACAACTCTCGCGAGACCCGCTCCAGCCACCACTACTCCTACCGCCGCCTCCTCTGGCTCACGGCGTCCGCGGCCAGAAGCCGGGAGAGCTTCCCCGTCCGCGACCGCCTCCCCACCATTCAGCGCTCACTTCCGGACGCGGCCCCAAGCCCGACGGGACACACTTCCGCCCTGGTGCCACCGCCAACCTCTTCCCTCGCCCGCTCGCGCCCTGGAAGCCCAGGTTCCTATTGGCTGCGCGGGTGTCCTAGCAACCGGCAGTGCGTGGGAGGGAGGAAAGGAAGGAAGGAATCGCGGTGTGAGTGGTCGCCACGGCAACCGCGGCCTCGGCTGGGTCCCCTCCTGCTCTCCCTTCCCTCGCCTCAGCTTGACCCACCGCAGCCTTGGCCTGACACCTGTGTAGGCCGCTCTCACCTGCAGCCAAAGGGCAAGCTTCCCAGGGCCAGATATTCCAGTTCAAAGCAGAAAATGTGGGGTTTTATCAAGGCAGAAAAATCCCACAATATCTGCTTTTGAAGTGGGTTATCTTGAGTCCACACTCAGATAATGTGGGATTTTCTGCCCTATATTCTGGGATATAGGGCTGTGTGGAAGGGCCCTGAGTGTGTTCACAGCCCAGGGTCCTTGTTGTTGTTGTTCAGTCGTTTCCGACTCTTTGTGACCTCATGGGTCAAGGGTCTGGAGAACAAGCCCTATGAGGAGCAGCTTAAGGAGCTGGGCATGTTTAGTCTGAAGAAGGCTGAGAGGGGATATGATAGCCATGTATAAATATGTGAGAGGAAGCCACAGGGAGGAGGGAGCAAGCTTGTTTTCTGCTTCCTGGAGACTAGGACATGGAATAATGGCTTCAAACTACAAGAAAGGAGATTCCATCTGAACATGAGGAAGAACTTCCTGACTGTGAGAGCCGTTCAGCAGTGGAACTCTCTGCCCGGAGTGTGGTGGAGGCTCCTTCTTTGGAAGCTTTTAACAGAGGCTGGATGGCCATCTGTCAGGGGTGATTTGAATGCAATATTCCTGCTTCTTGGCAGGGGGTTGGACTGGATGGCCCATGAGGTCTCTTCCAACTCTAGGATTCTATGATTCAAGGTACGCATACAGCTCAGCACAGTGGAACACAGTAGGAAAGAGAAATCCTATATTATGATGGATTGGGTCAATAAAGGAAGCCGTGGCCCTGGGTTTGCAAGGCCTGAACAGAGTTCTTAATGAACAGGACTCACGGAGACCTCTCTTTTACAGTGTTGCTTTATGTCCAAACCAAATTGACAGAAAATTACAGCAACCAATCGTACATCACTTTTTGTGTCAGGGTAACTGTCATGACTTCCTCCCAAGTGTTTTGGGAACTGATTTCCAAAACTCCGCTCATGGTTGTTCAGTTCCCAGGGCATCTTAGAGAAATGAAACAATAGCTTGGAGACTAGGACGCGGAACAATGGCTTCAAACTACAAGAGAGGAGATTCCATCTGAACACGAGGAAGAACTTCCTGACTGTGAGAGCCGTTCAGCAGTGGAACTCTCTGTCCCGGAGTGTGGTGGAGGCTCCTTCTTTGGAAGCTTTTAAACAGAGGCTGGATGGCCATCTGTCAGGGGTGATTTGAATGCAATATTCCTGCTTCTTGGCAGGGGGTTGGACTGAGGTCTCTTCCAACTCTATGATTCTATGATTCGTGACCAGCCCACGCCAGAGCTCCCTGTCGGCCGTCACCACCCCCAGCTCCTTCAGTCAAGCCAGTCACTTCAAGGATACCATCCATCCATCTTGCCCTTGGTCCCTCTCTTCCTTTTTCCTTCCATTTTCCCCAGCATCATGTCTTCTCTAAGCTTTCCTGTCTTCTCATGATGTGGCCAAAGTACTTCATCTTTGCCTCTACTATTCTTCCCTCCAATGAGCAGTCAGGCTTTATTTCTTGAAGTATGGACTGGTTGGATCGTCTCACTGTCCAAGGCACTCTCAGAACTTTCCTCCAAAAAGAGAGGTGGTTTGGCCCTCCCAGAATTACAAACATACTACGAAGCAGCAGCACTTTGTTGGTTAAAAGACTGGGCCACCCTAGAAAACAGGAAATTACTAGCTTCAGAAGGACACAGCCTTATGCAGGGATGGCATAACTATTTGTGGAGAGGGAAAGCCACAGAAGAGAAAAACTTCAAAAATCACTTCATTAGGGCTGCCCTCATCCAGGTATGGGACAAATACAAAGAGAGATTCCATGTGAAAACTCCTCTGTGGTTCTCCCCCAACGAAGCTAACCAGATAAGAGAGATCCCAAGATCCAAGTGGCTTACATATAAGGAAATACTGAAAAAAGATGGGCAGGAGATAAAAATAAAAACCCAGGAGGAACTTAAAATTTATGACCCACTTCTCTCCTGGTTTCAGTATTATCAAATAAGGGAAAACTTTAAAGCTGATCAAAATATAGGTTTCGAAAAAGATGAAACCTGGGACAAGGTGCTTAAAACATATACAAAGCTAATTAAGAAAATTTACCGGCAACTACTCTGCTGGCTTATGGAGAAAGAACAAATAAAAGAAAACATGATAAAATGGGCCAGGGACATTGGGTGAACAATTAGCCTAGCCAAATGGGAAGAGATCTGGTCAAAAAAACTAAAATTTACTTACTCTACTGACTTCAAAGAAAACTGGTACAAACTATTTTACCGATGGTACCTAACCCCAGCGCTATTAGTGAAGATTAGTAAAGGAAAAAGTAATGGAAAATGTTGTAAATGTAGAAAAGAAAAGGGAGACTTCATCCACATGTGGTGGAGATGTAAAAAGGTCAAGTCCTTCTGGAGACAAATTCATTTAAAAAAGAAAAAGAAATAATCCTACGAATAAAATTCAAATTAAAACCGGAATATTTATTGCTAGGTATCACGGACTTTGACATGGATACTAACACAAATAAGATCTTCTTCTACCTAATAACAGCAGCAAGATTAAAACTGGCTCAGATGTGGAAATCCCAGGAAATTCCCTCAGTAGAACAGTGGATGTTGAAAGTTCTTGATATTATGAACATGGACCTTCTTACACAAAGAATATCTCAAAACAGTAATATGACTAAAACAACGAATTGGGATAACTTCCTCCAATACATAGAGGAGGAGAAAAAGCAATAATCAACAACAATAATAATAACAAATAATAATAACAAATAATAACAACAATAACAACGATCAAAAATAATAGACAAAATATGGAGTAAACAAAAGAAAATTGTTAGCTGAAAAAAAAAAAACCCCACAAATTGCACAGAATAATTGGAGGTCATTCACTCCACAAGAGGAAAAGATAACAGTCCAAAGAATTGAAACAACAAGATTCAACCCTGATCAACTTGGAAGTGCCTCATAATTTAGATAGAATTCCCTCCCAAGGTACGAGTTGTGCGAATGTGTGTGTGCGAGGATGAGTGAATGAGGAAAAATCCCCCCCTAGTTAGTTTTTTTTAATTATTAAAGGGGAGCCCCATTCTCTTTTTTCTTCTTCTGCACTTTCCTATTTCAACCCAATTGTTCCACCACTTTTTATGTATCTAAAAATCCACAATAAAAAATTTTGAAGAGAACTTTCCTCCAGCACCACAGTTCAAAAGCATCTATCTTCCTTCGCTCAGCCTTCCTTATGGTCCAGCTCTCACATCCGTAAGTGACTATGGGGAATACCATTGCTTTGACTATGCGGATCTTTGTTGGCAGTGTGATGTCTCTGTTCTTCTCTATTTTATCGAGATTGGACATTGCTCTCCTCCCAAGAAGTAAGCGTCTCCTGATTTCCTGGTTGCAGTCTGCATCTGCAGTAATCTTTGCACCTAGAAATACAAAGTCTCTCACTGCCTCTACGTTTTCTCCCTCTGTTTCCCAGTTGTCAATCATTCTTGTTGCTATAATCTTGTTTTTTTTTTTTTTGTTTAACTGCAACCCAGCTTTTGCGCCTTTTTCTTTCACTTTGAATAAAAGGGCACACAGCCCTATATACCAGATTATCAAGGCAAAAAATCCCACAATATCTGATTTGAACTGGGTTATCTGAGTCCACACTCAGATAATGTGGGATTTTCTGCCTTGATATTGTGGGATGTAAGATCATCTGGAGAGGCCCTGCTCTCGACCCTACCAACATAGCAAACATGATTGGTGGGGACAAGGGACAGGGCCTTCTCATTAGTGGCCCCCGCCTGTGGAACGCTCTTCCCAGAGACACTTATGACAATGATTTGACCCTTACTGGATTTTAGACTCTGATTTTAATAGGCATGTGTTAATCAATTGTTTTGTTTATTGTTTTAATATTTTAATATATTGTTGATTGTTTTATTATGATGGTATTTGTGAGGCCGCCCTGAGTTCCCCTCTTAGGGGTGAGAAGGGTGGGGAATAAATGTAGGAAATAAATAAATGTAGGGCTGTGTGGTAGGGGCCCTGAGTGTGTTCACAGATAACCGAGGGCCCTTCCACACAGGCCTATATTCCAGAATATCAAAGCAGAAAATCCCACAATATCTGCTTTGAACTGGGTTATCTGGGTTCACACTTGATATCTGAGTCCCAGCCTTGATATTCTGGAATATAGGCCTGTGTGGAAGGGCCCGAGTGTGGACTCGGATAACCCCGTTCAAAGCAGATATTGTGGGATTTTCTGCCTTGATATTCTGGGATACAGAGCTGTGTAGAAGGACCCAGAGAGAGATTTATTTGCCCAAGGTAAACTTCAGTAGACTTCCATGGCTGAGCAGGCATTCAAACTCTTATCTCCAGGATTGTAATCAGATGCTCAAATCTCTACACCAGGCATCCTCAAACTGCGGCTTTCCAGCAGTTTGGCCCTTCACCTCCCAGAATTCCTGACAATTGAACAAGCTAATTAGGGCTTCTGGGAGTTGGAGGCCCAAACAGCTGGAGGGACGCAGTTTGAGGATGCCTGCTCTATACCATATTGGCTCTCTGTTTTGTATATCCTGTTTGTACTCAGA